TTTTTACACGTTTTTTATTTATTTTTTATATTTTTTAAATTTTTTTATTTATTTTTAATTTTTTTTTTTAACATTTTGTAATTTATTTTTCAATAATTTTTTTGTTTAGTTTTACTGTTGGGGGGCGGCTATGGTGAAATATCTGGGGTCTAAACAGATCCCTGACATTTCCCTTTTGAAATAGAAAAAGTTAAATTTAAAGGGGACAGTCTGGGGAACAGTTCTGCTATAAGCTCATGGTCGCTGAAGCGACCATGAGCTTATAGCAGAACTGTAAATGCGTAAGGCATACTGAGCTGGCCAGCCGTGAACACTTTTGTTCTGCCTTAAGCCTTACGGCGGTGGCAGCGAAAGGGTTAAGTTAGAATTTTCAGGGCAGTTTCTGCTGTCTCATAATAAGTAGGAAAAAATGTGATTTCATTATTTGCTTTCATTCTGTAAAGGGGATTTACATTCAAATTGTAGTAATGTTTACTTAACTGCCCACCACTGAACGCTGCTCTGATCCTCAAATATGTCCCCTGACACCTGCATTGAACTGAACACTTCTGGTAGTGTCAATCTCCATGTGCCCCTTTCACTAGCTCCTCCTGCGGACCATCATGTCTTTGCAGGAGACAGTGGTGAGGTTGAGGTCAGCAAGAGGAACCAGAGAGAGCTGAGGGTACCATGGGGCTATCCGGTAGGGGAGCATTTCTGGGAGTGTTGGTTTCCCTGCAAAAGTCAGCAGATATTTCCTCAGGACAGTTGGAGTGTTTTGTGACACGGGCAGCAGAAGAGGCAAGTATTTAATTTTTTCATTGTATGTAGGTGCTTGATTCAGAGTTTTACATTATGTGATAGGGTCTTCATAAAGTGACACTAAACTCAAGAGATAAATCCTAAAAATACATTCAAGTACTTATTTATTAACAATGCTGTATCTTATTGTGTATCACTCGGATTTAGATCCTCAAATCATCTCTGAATAGGTGCTGACACTGTCCTTCCTTCTGGAGGGTGGTTACATTGGTGGTCCCAGTGTGTGTTTTAAAGTAGCCACCGCTCCAAGCTCACTCCCATGATGAACTACAATCTCAAATTTAGTTTTCTAAGCTGTATTGAGATTGTAGTCGATCACGGGAGTGAGCTTGGAGCGGTGGCTACTTTACAACACACACGGGGACCATGCGGAACAAAAGTAGCCACCCTTCAGAAGGAAGTACAGTGTCAGCATGAATACAGAGATGGTTTGATGGCTCTACAGCTGAGTGATACACAAATAAGATAAAAAAAATTTAATAGTTAGGGTGCTTGAATGCATTTTTAAGGCTTATCTGCTGAGTTTAGTGTCACTTAATAAAGAAGTTGTAATCAAATACAGATAAATAGGCAGATTCAGATTAGCATGAATAAACATTGTGTTGTACAGATCGCTTATCAATCTTATTGGGGGAAATTTATAAAAACTGGAGCAGACAAAATCTGGAGCAGCTGTGCATGACAACCTATCAGCTCCTCTCTTCAGTTTGTTCAGTTAACATTTGAAAATAAAACTTAGAAGCTGATTGGTTGCCATGCACAGCTACTCCAGATTTTGTCTGCTCCAGTTTTGATTAAATTCCCTTCATTGTCTTTGAAAGTAATGCTGGCTGGAAATGCTGGCGTTTGGTTAAAGCAGAGTTTAAAATAAAGTGAACAAGGATGGTAAAGATCAATCACAGCATTGACATAGGCTGAGTTTAGTCGATTAATAAACTGCCTGCACAGGTCAAAAAGGAAGCAAAATAGTGAATAGTGAATCTTTTACCAGGTACATGATACCATGTTAGATCTCCATCACTTTCTGTATATAGAAGACACAATACCCCTCATCTTCTTCACACCCCTGTGAGTAACATGATTAAAGCCTCTGGCCTTCCCTCATTACGCTGGCATCGCACTGAAAAGTTTCCATACACAATAAGCGCATTCATTATACGCACTTTAACTGAGCCAGCATTTCTGAATACCAATTAGCTGTTCAGTCTATTTCTCAGCATCCTTCCAGGACTTCTGCCCTGCACATCAGCCGTGATTTGTGGCTTGCTTTGTTTGTGACTGTACCAAATTCAAAAACATGGGTCAGGAACTAAAACAACATTATAAGGCTATCTTGGGACAGCGGTAGATTGTGGAATTAACTGCTTTTGTCCAGAATAATTTTGTTTCTCTTCTCCAAGGCTGCCAGTTAAATTGTCACATTTATATGGATCCTTTTAAATAACTTTCACCCCTGACCGCTCAAAGAATTCAGATATGAACTGTTTCCAATGAAATTTTCTACCAAGGCAATGTAATTAAGGGTATTGTCATTGAACAACCTGGGCAGCTAATTTATGTGGGCCCTAATTTATTTTGACAAAGTATGTTTATGAACTGTTGACCTCTCTGAATATTTTTGCATGTCCCAAACGAAAGTAGGGTAAACATTTGCTGTAGGAAAAGAACATGATCATGTACATTAACATATTTAATATCTAAAGAATATTGCTGAGATGATTTAAGGGAATGTACAATGGTTCTATTCAATTTTGTTTTTTGTAATAAAGCACCAGGGCCCAATTGTAACTCTAATGACGTGTATTCTACATCCTGCTCTCTCTCTGAGTTCCTGCAGAAATCCTCCCTCCTGTGATGAACTTCTGGCACAGCATAGGTTAGTTGCCTCTGTGTAACAGTGAAGGAATCGTACCGCTGAAGCTCCTCTTCCGCTCCATTACCCATTCACAGAATTTCTTGCATTCTGAGTAATGGAGAGGATCCTGGCATTTTTCTGCCACTCCTCCATTCACAGATTCTGTGAAAAGAATGCAATGAATTCTCTGAATAAGGAATGTCAGAGCTGTGCAACTCCTTCACTATAACAGCAGAGCTGGTAGTTCATTGCTGTGAGGAGGACCTGGCATCACTGAAGGAAGGATTTCTACAGTAATAATCAGCCAACAGGACATGTTGGGTGTATCATATGTCCCTGTACTGTAGAACGAAAGAAAAAAAAATGAAATGTCATCGTAAGTCAGGTGAGGTATTTACAAAATATACACAATTTAGCATATTAAAGGGTTTCTAAACCCTCACGGTTTTTTGCATATATCTACTGCTAGCAAGCAGTAGATATATGCAAAAAGTTTTACAAAAACAAAACAAAAACGCTTTAAAAGCGGTTTAAACTTACCCCTGTCTTCGCTGCACGCTCCTGTCCTGTCTCACGCGTGCACCCACGTGCAGACACCAAAGGGACAGGAAGTGCCAGCAAGGACAGAGGAGTCAGCGCTGGATCAGGGACTCGCAGCAGCGCTGGGGAGAAGGCTGAAAAGGACAGGAAAGAAGAGGAAGATCGGATTAAGAGACATCATTGAAGGTAAGTGCTTTAACCCCTTCATGACAGGCCTTTTTTTCATTTTTTGCACCCATGTTATATTCCACATTTTAGGCCTGAAAATTACTTAAAACCCCCACACATTATATATTTTCTGAATGCCAAGACCCTATACAATATAATGGTGGTAGTTGCAAATTTTTATGTTGCACAATATTAGCGCAACTCCTTATTAAACCCCAACATTTAGTGATACATTGAATTAAATGCCCCAAAACACAACAAAATACCCATTTATAAAATTAAATATAAAAGATGAGGTTACAACGAGTAAAACGATACCCAACATGCCCAGTTTACAAATTGCGTGCGTCCGTGAAACGGCGAAAAACTGCAATACCCCAAAAAGTCCACAGAAGACGCTTTAAAAGCCCCCACAGGTCATCAATTTAGAGATACCCCAAAATACTGGCCCTAGAATTATTGCTCTCACTCCAGCGTGCGCGGCGATACCCAACATGTTTAGCGCGTTCGTCGTTTTCATACGTAGGCGCACCCGACGCGTGTTTACGTGGCGTCTCGCGGGGGCGGGGGACTTTAAAAAAAAAATTATTATTAGATTTATTTTGATTTTAAAAACTTTTGTTTTGTTTTTTTTACTTTACTTTGACTGCTATCACATGGGGGGGGGGGGGGGTAAAACTTTACAAGCACCCCCATGTGATAGCAGATGGTGGTGACAGGTACTCTTTAAGGTGATGCTGGGGGTGCAAAAGACATTATACTTTAAAGGAAAGCTCATAACAATAAAATGACCAAAATAATACATGAATTGCAATTTTCCGGGGTCTGATTGTGTATATTATTTGGAGCCATTATTTGGAGCCATTAAATTGAAGCCATTATCAAGCAACAACTTTGTTTCAGCGGTTGCTGGATACCAAGCAGTCTTTATACATAGTGTACAGACACACCATAATGTAAAAAGATTACATTAGAACAGTGTATTCAACTGTGGGAAGCTATTTGTGGCATATTGAGACAAAATTCAAAAACAGTTCACAAAGTGTTAAAGTAACTCTAATGGACTACAAGCACTTTACAAATTGCTAATGTACTGGGTTTCTATAATGTCTTGCCTGATGTGGTCAAAGATTATAACTATGCAATAGAAAGACCCACTATCCCCTGCACCACTGCTAAAAACAGGTTAAAATAAACTTACAATGAGAGAAATACAAAGGCTGCCATACCTGATCTTTTTCTAATAATTAGACTTATCTGGCTGTTATCCTGACCCTTTGACATTGGTGCTTTTAATCACTGACCTGGAAGAAAGGTGCAGATCAGAAATGTCAGCCACAAACAAGAAGTCTCTATGTGCATATTTGTTCCAGGAGTCAAAGTATTGAAGCAAGAGAGTCGGCATGATGGCCAGGCAACTAGTATGTTCTGGACAGAGGTCTGCAATGGCAGCATCCTTATTTTTCTCATGAGAGGTTTCTTTTGAAGCACACCTGAAGTATGAATGATTTATTTCACAGCTCTTCATTATTTCTTTCATCATTTGTTTGATCATGTAAATGCAGAATACTGTAACTCAACCTTTCCATTAATAAAAGAGACAATATTATAAAATATCTTATACCTTATAGCATCTATAGTGGGTCCAGCATTTAGTGGCAATCGCCTTTTGATCCTTGCATCTTCTAGAGTGAATTTCCATCTCATTGGTGGATCCTGAACAGGGAGGGGCTTAATGATGAAGTTTTCATATAAAACTGGATACAATATCAAACACCAATAAGTATAATCTCACACAATTAGACCTGTTTTTAGATAGGAACAGTTTACAATGTTGTTTTTGGGGTTTTTTTCTGATTGAAAAAATAAAGTGATTTTATACATGGAAATAACTTTAATTTCAAAGGGAAATGTTCTTGGAAATAGCATTTTGCTGTAAAACATGTTTATCAAATTTATTTTTGGAGTTACTGCATTACGCAGAACACAGTTATGAAGTGTAAGACATCCACTTTACACATGCACATTGCTTTATATCTACAGATACATTATACATGGGACCTGGGCAGCTTTATTATGACTTACAGAATCTGCTTAATGATTTGGATGTTGTCAACCAAATTTCACAATTGATATTGCAGTTAAAAGGAAACTATCAGGTAAGAATTTGCACTGGGTTTTATATGTTCTTAGACTGGGGACACTCCAACAGGCTGTATATGTGTTAATGAACTTTTTAGGTGCTGAATACTTTCTCCAGATGCAATGTTAATGTGGTGAAAGTGTGACTTAAAGTATATTTATACTTTAAAGCCAAATAAATGATCAGCAGCTGACTGTTACTAGAGAATATGATTATGGTTCTTTTTTGCAGAGTGTTTGCAGAGTGTCCAAACTAAATGTGCTGACTCAGAATAAATACTAAAGTCTTTGCATGTACCGCTGGAAAATGACAAAGAATGTTCTGTGGAACTGGCAAACTCCTCCATCCCTTTGGCCAATGAGAGCCCCTTGGCTTTCTGTAATGGTGGACTCGTTGGCAAAAGAGATGGCAGCAAATGTGTGGAGTAGATCTCTAATTGAGGTAATTCAAGGGTTCCATTACATGCATGTCAGAGGGCTCCCTGGAATACAAAACACGGCTTGCATCTTTACAAAACCTAAATGCCTTTTGTTGCCATCAACAGTAAAACTTTGAACACTGACTGTCTCAGTCTTTCTATTTCTGTTCAGTCTAGGTGTAGTGTAAAGAAATGTGGAGTTTTACAGGAGACATACCCACACTGCTGATTCCTAGAGTATGCTAAGTTTCACAGTACAGAAAGTGAGATCCTGCCTCTGAAGTTCTTGAAAAATAAAATAATTCAGTGTTGATTTAGGCAGTTAGTATCCACTAATAAGTGGAATCTTAGTTTTGGTTGGACTTACCATACAGTCATGTGTTATAAACATTTCATCATTTAAGCTTTCATGTATTATGTTTTAAATGCTGCTTTATATCACCAAATGCTTCCTTCTAATCCCCGTATAGAACTTGAACCAGGTTGTAGCTCGGGATTGGTCTTCAGGTTTACAAAAGCTGATCTTGAAGAAAGAGAATGAAATTCGAGCCGCAGACCGCTGTAGAATTCAGCTTCGGCTTCCTGGCAAACATGACAAGTCAGTGGTATTTTGTTTCTGCAGATAATTTTCCAGCCACAGTGTTCACGTAAAACATAATTTTATAGAAACTGCAAAGCCATTTTGCATATTGTTTTATCTCTGATTTTCTTAATATATTCCAGATCAGGGCGACCCACTTTCTTCACAGCAGTGTTTAATACTTTTGCCCCTGCTGCAAAGCAGTCATGGATCAATAACTTACAGATGGCTAAACTTGCACTTGGTAAGTCATACAGCCTTTAATGTTAAAGATCTTTACTGATTAGAAAGAAAGACTGTGTGTTGTGTTTTGGAGTGTTATTCCCAAAATATATTAAATGCATGGAAACTCATTCACTCACTCTAAAATACTTATGTTTGGATTAGAAATAAAGTGATTTCAGTCATTTCTTTGTTCATGTATTTTATTGGCATTATCAGATATCATTATCAAAATAATCTAAAAAGGCTGATTTTTTTTTCTCCTGAGCTGGTTTGAAATAGAGTTGATAATATGGTTCCTATTAACCACTTTTAGCAGTCTGCTTGTCAGTTTATGTGGCAGATGTAGATGCATAACAATAGGAGCATCAATGGATGTATATATGACTGGGCCACAACTCGGGTAATGGCAGTGGATCAGCATGGCATCTATGGAAGTAGTATTTTCAGGAGTGGAGGTCAGCAATGGCCACCACCATATGTCTTTGGTATAGGATTTGCCTAAAAAGGAGTGTGAGCTTATTGATTATTTTGTTGGTTTAGAGAAATGGTGTGTTCCCAGAATTCATTTTATAGTCTCTCAGAGAGTATCTCTTCATCAGCACTGCAATGATTGACAACTTGCTCATTCTAAAGCAAAGCAAGAAAAAAATGCCAAGATAGTTTTATTCAAAAGCTTGCACTCAGATTATCATGTGACTGACCACTATATCTTTACCTTTTTTTGCACATTTTGACCTGCTTTGTGGTCATAACAACCTATGTGCATGATTAAATCAGAATTTTTCTTAGATTCCCTAGGTTTGATACTAGTGGTTAAACAAGCTTTGCATTATGGACAATTTTGAAATGTTTTCCTGGAGGACTTTCAAAAAAAATTTCCATTACCTTGAAGCTTTTATAGGTATCAATTATTTTCAGAAGGAATTATCAGGCAATGAATACAATATATTTAATAGTGTAAGAATTAAATCATAACTATCCCCCATATACTCCCTTTTAGAATACTTGGTCAAATGCCCATGTCATGCAATATTATCTGCGGAAAAAGTTCTATTTTAAGAAAGATAGTAAAATTATACAGTAATAACCTTCTACTTGATATAGTGCAAAGCATACAATTATTCCTGAAATCTGTGAGGTGTTGAGTTTCTCAAGTCCTCTTCCTTTACTTAACCACCCCCTTCTACTCAAGATCGGACATTAATACATTAAGAAGGAAAAACTCAAGTTCATGCTGCTAAGTTTTGTTTGCATATAAGCCAGACACACAACTTAACTCCAATGCAGTTAAGAAAAGCCAAACCCTTTTTTGTACAAACACACATGCATGGACCAACACCATTGTCGTTTTTCTTCAGTGTGTACCTGTTTGCCAAAAATCTTTTCAAGCCAGCTGAAAGTGACCCTAAACTCGGGAGTTAAATCTTAAAAATGTATTGAAGTAACTTAACTATTAGCAAAAATGCAGCCTATTTGTGCATCACTCATGCCATAGTGACCTGCCATCCGCAGGTCACTATAAGCGCACACACCCCTCCCCCTCATTCAACTTTGGGTTTTTCCGGTAAGGAGTGCGACAAGGTATCTTTTTGTTTGTAGTCCATCACAGGCGCAAGCTTGGAGTGGTGGCTACTTTACAAAACATACAGTGATCATGGGGAACAAAGTAGCCATCCTCCAGAAGGAAGGACAGTGTCAGCACCAATTCAGAGATGATTTGAGGATCTACAACCGAGTGATGCACAAATAAGATACATTTTTTTTAATAGTTCAGGTTCTTGAATATATTTTTAAGGTTTAACTCCTGAGTTTAGTGTCACTTTGAAGGTTAATGTGGAGTACTCTGTTACCTCTGTGTTCCCAGTGTTTGGTTGAAGTCACAGAAATAAATATGCGGCTGAGTATAAATGCAAGCGTGTTAACATACGTTGCATTAAAGAACTTTTTTTTTAATCTATATAGCGCCGACAATTTATGCAGCGCTTTACACAGTGCATATTCACATCAATCCCTGTCCTCAAGGAGCTTATAAGCTAAGCTCTCTATCTCACATGCATTCATCCCCATAATTCAAGCCGACCTGTGACACTAAAAGCTCTATTGATCGGCAAGTCAGCGAACACATAAAGTTCGCTGACTTTTCTCGATCCTCTCCGTGGAGAGAGTGGTGACTATCAGTCATTGCTCCCCACAGGGATTCCCCTCTCCATTTCTATAGTGCTGACTGGAGGAACGGACAGGGGAGGGAACGGGCACAGCTGACTCTGCTAGATAGACAGAGCGAGCTGTCAATCAGCCAGCAGGGTGAAGTGTGACAGTATTGTTGGGATGTGTCCTGGCTGTGGCACGGTTCTGCTCTGTCAGCATAGTGTATAGCGGACAATCGCGCAAAAAGGGTTGGGCCATAGTTTAAGTGTTTGTTTGGACTAGGTGCACAAATAACAGTTATACTCGCCTGCACCTCGCAGTCCTCTCCTCCACTGCAGCGATCATATGTCCTCACGTTCTATGCACTGTATATTGGACGTGATGACTAACGGGACCTTAGACCACTGGAGTGGAGGGGTAGAGAGGCTGAAAGGGAGTGTTCTATGGGGGTAATTTTAGCCCCTAATCAAAAAACTGCATTTAAGTCTTGCAGTGCATGTTAGCCCCACTGCAAGGGTTAAGATAAGTTTTGCCTGGAGTTCTTTAAAGCTACTGGTTCATTTGAATGGGCTGTCCAGTGCACCACAACGGTTCAAAAATCGTACCTGCTGCATGTAGTACTTAATTTCTCTGCATTGTGGTGCTCTGCAATACAGATGAATTGGGGTGCCCCATTCCAGCAGTGCATCTAATGTATGTTAAAGGATAATTAAAGCCTCTGGTATTTTTGCATATATCTACTGCTGGCAAGCAGTAGATATATGCTAAAAGTGTAAAAAAAAAACCCCCGCTTTGAAAAGGGTTAATACTTACCCGTGCCTTCCACACGCGCTCCGTCCGAAAAGGTGAAAATTCTTGGGCGGCCGCAAAGCATTTTGGTGCGGGCGCATGCACAGATCACATTTTCGGTGGGAGACAAGAACAGACACAAGGTAAGTCTATGGACGCGTGCACCCGCATGCAGACACCGTGGGACAGGAAGTGCCAGCAAGCTCAGAGGAGTCAGCGTTGGATCGAAGACCCGCTGGAGGGACAGATGAAAGGGACAAGAAAGAAGAAGATCGGATTAAGAAACATAATTTAAGGTAAGTGCTGACATTAACGTTAGGGGGAGGGAAAAACATTTTTGACTTTAATGTCACTTTAACTCAATGTAGTGGTGTGAACAGACCCTAAAGCTGAAGGAAAAGAAGTGTGTGTTTCAAAACCTTGGCTGCAATAGGTAACACACTAGGGTAATGATGCTCCTTTTCAAAAATGTCAGTTTTCTTTAGCTGAGTACAATAAGATTTCAAACGATATGGCTAAAAACAAAAATCCTTATCCTTGTGTTGCACCTTTTGTAAATTGTGCCTTATTACATTCCTTGTATTCCAATAATCCAGAAGTTTCAAATCTATGTGGAATTTCAATATCAGATACATAAACTTCTGTATACATCTGAAAAACATGTACATTTTCAAGAAACTGCCTGCAAGAGAAAACCATTTTAAACTGGTTGGCATTCTGGAAGTTTTCTGATAGACCATTGATCGATTCTATCAAGGTAGATCGATCATAAGTAGGATGTGTTTGCATTATTTTTTTTTCATATTTTTATATAGCAAAGTAATAAATCAGTTACAAGAACTGCCAAGCTTTCTCCCTTTGTTGTTGCTGCTACCTTGAAAGAGGACATTTGTCAGACCTAGTTCTTGAAAATAAGCATTCTTCTAACAAAACATACTGAAGCCTGGTGAAGTCTGAATTATGTGTGACAAAGTAAAAAAAAGTAACACTGTGCCTGTCTTAAAAAGAACACATAATAATCATAAGGTGAACTGAAAGCAAAATAACTAATGGTTTCATCTGAGCCTTGTTCACCTTCTTTGTATGTAAAGCCCAAACGTTTTGTTGTTGTATAATAGTGTAGGTAAAGGTAAAAAAAAACCCATTGGGTTATTTTTTGTTGCCTTTGTCCTGCTGGGGAGTTTTTTCTTCACTTCCTATCCTGGAGTTGCAGCAGGAAATAAGAGGATATCTTTAACAAATATATAAAGAATTCCTATCTCATAGAGAACCAGGTGTCTCCAGTGGAAGGTGTCCGTTTACCTCTTGCTATATGGTTCGTTCACACAAACCCACATGGACACCAGAGCACAATGATGGGATGGGGATGTGGTGCCTTGGCACTGTTGACCTTTTTTTTAGCTTTAATTAAATGCATTTGTTGCTCAGGTGCAAAGAAACGCAGAGCTCCAGACATAGCTTGTACGAGCCCTTTGTGGATTTCTCCTCACTTTCTGTCACCTGAAAAAGGAATGGGTTGAACCTCTCCAGCAGGGACATGGGCAGCAATACAGGATCTATCTCCTCGCCTTTCTACCTAAAACATACAAAAGAGCCTTTACATACACTATACTGTAAATGCATTTGTCAAACAGTCTAGCTGGTTGAAATTGGCCACACCGGCATTTTTCCTTACACTTTTAACAGTTTCTTATTATTTAATAAAGTACGGTAAAGTACAATAATCATGTGCTAAATATAATGAGCCTGTCAAATGTCATTGTTTACCTATGACTACGGTCCCTTGTCCTGACATAGAGCAACAATAGTTAAAAAAAGGATAAGATGATTTGGGTCCCAGATTTTCGTTTTTAATTACAGGCGAGGAGAACCAGCTGGGTTGGTTCTGCCTAGAAGATGAGGGACACGAGGTCAAAAAGGAAAAGCATCCCTTGCTTGTGAAGTATTTGCCAGTTATAATGTCAAAGCAACAGGAATTTAAGGTGAGCCATTTTTAAAATACACACATTGGTCTGTTTTAAGGTCATGAGGAGAACCACCCACATCCTTCCTGCATGGCCTTTTCATCATCTCATCTTTGAAAATGGATTATTTTCCTTTTGTATAATAACTCTACCTTGACTTGGCAGTCAGAAGATGCAGATTGCAGGCTGCCATCTGGCCTTGTCATTAAACGTGTAACGTACCAGCAGCCGTGTCTCACAGACTCAGATGCCAGTGCAAATGCTTTACACGTCAGGCAACAACGTATGAACTTATTTATAGTTCACTCTTACCTTCCACATGATTGATGTCCCTGCAGGTTAACGATATCTACTGTATATGATTTAACGATATTTATAAACACAGGTATGGACGTGCTGTTCTATGACCCAGTTAGCATTTCCCTGATTTATTTTCAGATTGAATGTGCTGTCTATAATCCTGAACATTATCTCAGTAGTGAAAATGATCCAGATTCACTTTCCATGCATCATGGGTTTTTATGGGTAAGTGAACCCTCTTGAAGTTTTTGATTTATTACCCTAGTGCAGACTTAAAACACGTAGCACATAATTTTGTTTTGTTTACTAAATTGATTATTTATTTTTGAATTTTTTTGGCACATCTATTTACAAATGTATGCAAATAAAACAAATGAGTAGAACACAAACCGCTAAATAAAGCACTTAGTAATTCTGTTTGTACATTCATTCAGCCTGGATTGTTGACTTGCTGCAGTTATGATGTACAGTTTACAATATATCCAGCCTTCCAGACTTGAGAAATCCATTTAAAGTGGGGCAAATATATTATTATTATTACATTATACATAATTTTCAATTCCATACATTTTACATAGATGCCTTATTTTCGTGAAGGGCTTGTTCACACCAACCCCCACGTCGTGTTATGCCCTGCATAATGGGTGTGTGGTGTGAAGGGCGGTGCATTGTATTGTTGCAATACATAGCTCTGTTTTTTGTTGTTTTTTTACATTATTGAAGTGTCACAAAATTACATTTGCATACAGTGTTGCATGCAGACTCATATGTGCTGGGCTGGTTGTAGCAGTAGTGGTTGCAAGTGACCTTTTTGCCTCCTTAGTCCAGTGCCCCCCAGTTGACATCACCACCCTCTACATTGAATGCAGGTGTCCACATTCAGCACTCTTAAACGTTTGGGTGATTATTGGAAGTGAGTCAGACACTACCTGCAATATTTTATCAGTAGCAGTTAACAGTTAGCCAATCGTACTGATAACCTGTTTTTTTTTTGTTTTTTTTTAAGCAAGCAGTCCTGGCAGAACCATGAGAGCTGCCATGAGAGTAGGTTGGATCACAGCTCGCAGATGATGCATCTCAGACACACTGATAGTGTATCTGTATTACGATATACAGACTGGTGCATCCACTGCAAGCCAGCTGGGGTTGCTGTGGTCTGGATAAAATGTGGGCCGGTTGTGGCCTGTGGTCTGTAGTTTGGAGACTCCTGATCTTGAACATGCATTCTTAAAATCAAGGCAGCAATGGAGGCTTCTATATTTCTGTCCTGACTGATTACTCATCTCACTAGTGTCATATAAACACATGAAGCACAATTTTATTTTTCCTGGATATACATTTATCAGCATTTTGCATCAATGTACATAAACTGACAGTCTAGCAATAAGGGTAACATCTTTCCAATGAACTCTAGAGCTCATTCTGTGACATTGATAATACCTGTGAAAGAAAACTAGCTTGATAAAAGAATGAGACCTTCTCCTGATGTATAAACAAAGAGTGAACACATAGCAAGCTGCGAAAATCACAAGGTGGCTCTTTGTCGTCTGTTTTGCTTAGATTGGCAGCTGCACTAATCAGATGGGTCAGATTGCTGTTGTTTCACTTCACAACTGTAGCCCGAAGGTGATAGAGTGTTTCAATGTAGAATCACGCATACTCTGCATGGTCTGTGTCCCTGAGGAAGAACGACACAAACAATTAAATGATGTCCCAGATTCCGAATGTGGTTCTATTTCACGAGCACCAGATGTGCCCACGATTTGCCTGGGCATGGAAGAAGGAAGGTAAATGTTATTCATTCTGATATTTCTGCTTTAAGTCAAAACGACTTTTAGATATTAGCGAAGGAACTACAAACTATTCAGCTATAACAGTATTTCTAAGATATTCCTGCCAAAAGTAATAACTTCTTGAAATACTTTTTTATGGCTCTTTCTAAAAATAGATTGTATGTTAATTAGAGACTATCCAACAGCTTCAAGTGTTCAGATTTAACTTCCCGGTTGCCTGGATACTTATGTAATATATACAGTATGTGCATATTAATAATCCTAAGATAAATGCTGTCTGTCTTAAAGTGAGCCTGTAATGTAATGCTATTTCTAGACCAAAGCACACTGTTTTAGCATTATACACAATGTTGTGCCTACTGTAAAACTGTTCCTGGGTTTTTGACCATGGCAGCCTCCAATGTTGTATTGCAAGATCTATACTGACAGGTCCTCTTTAATAATTAGTTCCACCTAAGAAAGCTGTAGAGTCCTATATATGAGAATGATTATTGAATGCATAGAAGGATCTTGCTTAGAGGTATCTAGTATGGGTGGATTTAGTTTAATTTCAGGTAAAGCTGTGGCTTTGGAACAGTAAGCAACCTGTGACTTGCACTAAATGCCATATACCTCAACATGTTGCCATGTTTTGTTTAATGTCCTGCAGACCCCAGCAGTTTGGGGTGCTCAGCTACGCAAGTAGTGACTGGCTTCTGGGCTACTGGCTTCTGCACCTAACAATTGACAAGGCATCATCACTAATAGTGAAGCACAGGAGAGAGCGGGGCAGAGCCACTGAACAGGGAAGCTGGTCGATATTTGCATAGCAGGACACTCCAGCTTTCTGAGTTCCAGGGATACTCTGCAGGACATCAGTAGATGTCTGCTATCTAATGTTGGTGATAGATTGCACAGTTTCCGAGCCACTGGCTCTAATCTAATTGCATGTCTAGGATTGGCATAACTAGTTCATGAATTAAAGTGAAGTGGTGATCATAGCAGACGTCTTAGATTTTATTCTCAAGCTTATACTTTGAACATAAAACATGGAATCATCTTGGTGGCTGTTGGCAACACCTGAATTGGCAACAATAGGCACCATTTATCTTCTGATATGTAGTCTGTGTTCTCTTTTTAAGTATTAGTATGTAAAGTAAATGTACGTATAGCCGCAATGTCCATGATACTCTGCAGGACATCAGTAGATGTCTGCTATCTAATGTTGGTGACAGATTGCACAGTTTCCGAGCCACTGGCTCTAATCTAATTGCATGTCTAGGATTGGCATAACTAGTTCATGAATTAAAGTGAAGTGGTGATCATAGCAGACGTCTTAGATTTTATTCTCAAGCTTATACTTTGAACATAAAACATGGAATCATCTTGGTGGCTGTTGGCAACACCTGAATTGGCAACAATAGGCACCATTTATCTTCTGATATGTAGTCTGTGTTCTCTTTAAGTATTAGTATGTAAAGTAAATGTACATATAGCCGCAATGTCCGTGATGTCCATGTTCCTTCTTCAATCTCAAATAGCATGCGTTTCTTTGTCCTTTACTGTGAGTTTTGTGTATTGCTGGGATATGGACATGGTTCTGAGAATATAGGTTTTAAAAAAGAGCAGAAACTTGAACAATTTTGTACTAGATATTGCATAAAAAGAAGACAGTTTTGTGTTTTCCTGGAATAAGTAGTCTATTTGTTTTCAAAGAGTAGAAAGTTGCTAGAAATGACATGACATTAGAGAGTGGGGAAGGAGCACGAATATCTCTCAATTTTTGATATATACATTGTGGATATCCTGGTGTGGCCATATTTGTCTGCTGCTCTCCTAGAGTTTGAGCGCGTTACATCATCGTTGAGTTTATTTTATAAAGACTTAATATTTGTTTTGCACTTTTTCTAGCATATGTGTCTACAAAAGTAGCCAAGGATCAAAAAAGGTTCGCCTGCAGCACTTTTTCACCCCAGAGAAATCTACCGTCATGAGTCTTGCCAGCGTGTCCCACACTTTGTACGCAGGTCTCGTAAATGGAAATCTTGCAATCTACACAAAGATGGAAGGTAAAACAACATTAAGATGATAGGCTTTAGGCTTCCTCAGATAATCATATCCTTTAACACCGTAAGATTATAAAAAAAGGAATTTAAAGTAGAAGCTAAATACACAGTTGAAATACAAACTACGTCCGGTGTCAGCTTTTACTTACTGGATAGAGGTGGTGATGCTATTTCACAGTCCATTGAGAAGGTTGGCGGTACAAAGGTACAGACGTATATACCTTAGATCAGGGATGGCCAAACTCCGGCCCTCCAGCTGTGGTGAAACAACAAATCCCATGAAGCATCTCTCATCGGGAGTCATGTCTGTGAGAATCTTGCAAAGCCTCATGGGATTCGTAGTTCCACCACAGCTGGAGGGCCGCAGTTTGGCTATCCCTGCCTTTTAGATGCATCAAATTTCTCACGGGGCAATCTACCCCAAGTTAGGCCGTGATTACAGCTTGTACAGCTCCAGCAGACATGGAAATGTTGCCCATTTGTCTGGTTCTCCTATAGAGTATAATGGCAGTCCCAGCGGCATGTGCTCAGCTTAAATCAGAGGGCCTATTCATCCTCTAGGGCTAGTTCACACCAGAACTGTGTGCGTCTGCAACGCAATGCGTTTTACCGTTGCGATCCGAATGCAGCTAAAATAGGGCAAGCAGTATTTTTTTCTGACTGCATCGGAACGGACTGCACTGGTGTGAATAGAGCACCAGAAATCCCATAGGAAAGTATTGTGATGTATTTTGGCGGCAGCAGCCAAACTGAACGCAATGCATCACAACTGCATCTGGTGTGAACTAACCTATAGGGCTGATCCACATCTATGCGTTGCAATTTATTGTGAAAGGCAAACTATATGGGTTAATTCACGCCTATGCATGTGTTTTACCATGCATACTGCAATGCACATAGAACAATGTGAATTCTGCCATAGGTTATTTTATCAATCGGATAAGTAGAGTGGGTAAAGTATGACATATGATGTGGCTTATGTTTCTGTGGGTGTTCGCTGCACCATCCCTGATCACTCTCAAGGAAGAACTGAATGTCTGTCATAGATTTTCCAGATGACCACTATTGTACCCTGAGATAAGGCTGACAAAGGTAGTGCCTGCTCAGTACATCAACATGCACAAGGTGCTGAAATTAGTGTATCATGATTATTCTAAAAAAAGCAACTTTGCAGCAGTGACCTCTTCTGATCACCATCCCATGTCTATGTATAAAATACATATGTTAGGAATCAGGCAACTATTAATTTGCCAATTATCAGCTCTACCAGACCAAGGAAGACAAAAAAAGGATGAATGCATTTGTATATGTAGAGATTTTAACTGGCTCTTATGCTGGATTATCATTTAGATTAAAATAATATTGTTTTCATTTTATATTGCTGATTAAGCTGCAGTTGAGGTGTTTTTAAGCCTGATAGAAGAGCTCTGAAACCCAAGTTCTGGGGACTATATTATTAAAGGATGTAAGCAATAACACTCAGTCATTTGTACTGTGCATCACAGTTGTAGGTCCGTATTCTCAGGATTACTGTCACAAAAATGTATTTTAACAAGAAGCTTTTTTACAAAGTTTTTCATTATGGTCATGAGGGTATTTTCAGATAGCCCCAAAGGTCCATTAATGGCCCCTAAACCACCAGACAGGCCTCCAGACCAGACAGATTGATCTTTACTAAAGGCCAAAAATGTAATTATTGTAGAAATCATCTACAACATTTAAAGCTGAACTCTGGGCGAAAACAATATTTGGACATGTGCACTGAAAAAAATACATTCGCACTAATGAAGTGTACCATGTTTGCCCTGAGCATCGTGCACGGAGACGTAAGGTGCCCATACACTGGTCTGATTCTGGCCAGTTTTAAATGTATCGGACGAAATTCGCACAGTGTGTGGGGTTGCCGGCTCCCTTTAAGCGGGCATTCCTCGATCAGTTGATCGAAGGAAGCGGCTGGAAAATTTTCGATCCATCAGAGCCGGCAGCCAATGAGCTGCACGCTCTGACTGGGTATTCTGACCAGGTCCAGCGGCACCTGTCAGAATACGATGTAAACAGCGGGATTCCTCCATCAACACTCTGTGTTGATGGAGGAATTGGGTCAATGATAGGTGTATGGCCAGCCTTTTAACTTCCAGCTTGAGTATACAGATGATGGCGGGCTGCTTGCTCTGTAGCTCATACTTTAGGAAAACATCTTGCATCCTTTTCACAGAGGAGAAAAGGTCATAACATTCATCTGCACCTCCTCCACTCATAGAACGCCTTGCATCTTGTTAAAACAAGGCAATGTTTTCTCAATGGATTTGATGCAGAGCGAGCGACCCACTGTACTAGTGCGAGGAAGTGCAAGTCTTAGCACAGGACATTCGGCTCTTACTCTTCACAGGGTGAAGGAAAGTAAGGGTGTTACAGAATGCTGCAGCCTACATACTTGGCACATGCTTTATTACTGCTAATTCATTTTTATAGTGCAAATGTCCAAATATTGTTATTGGCCGGAGTTTAGCTTTAAATCATGCTAGGGTTCCTGTTAGTCATAAATCCTACTTTGCATATTTTATTTAATAGGATTTTTTTCCTAAATTATATGTTTTTATCTCCTGTAAAAGTCACATCCATTTCAGATTAGCCTACCTGTATATATATATATACCTAATAACTGTAGTTGTATTTGTAATGTTAAAGTGTGATGCCATCACATTTCCCATATATATGTATGCCCTTCAGTGCTCTGGCAGCAAGCTGTTTTTTCTCTGAGCACTGACCTATTTTCTAAGTTCTGTTTGTCTGGCTAGAAGGCATAGAAAGCAGATTACTAGGAAATATTACACTCTTTGTGCAGGGCATTGCTAACATAACATCTGTTTGGGTAGAAAGCCTCACTCTCACAATCATTTTATCAAAGTAATAGTGCACTGCTAGTGTTAAACAGAACAGAAAAAGTAGACACAATATTGCAACAATCCTCATGCGTACTCTGTCTTTGTAGAATACCCTTTTTCTCTTAATATTGCATTTTTCCTAAAAATACATATTATATTATGAAGTGGAGGAAATTTGCATGTGAGCAGTATTACAGTTATTGTATGCCCAGGTATAAAGCTGCTTCTTAGTAGTGCAAAATTCTTTAAAAAAACAATTAATTAAAGAGCAGTTATAAATCCTGGTAAGCCGGACAAATATATGTTTATAAAATTATCTATAGTAGCCAATAAGATTTGATATTTCAGTGGGCTACAAAAATAAAATAAAATTATTATAACATTATTGCATTCCATACCATTCATTTTCTATAGAATATGTTGTTAAATGAGCGGTATTGGGAGAGGAAAATATACTCTTCCCAATACTTAGAGCTGGCTTGTGACACTGCAGGTGTCACATGACAGCTCTATAGATTAAGAGCTGAGCGATCATGTGACCACTGATTGCTCAGCCCATGCTCTTCTTGCTGCAGAGAGTGGATACTGTCAGTCACTGCTCCCCGCAGGGATTCTCTTCTCCCCTTTCTATTCCTCCAAAGCTGACTGGAGGGTCAGACAGTGAAGGGGGACGGGTACAGCTGGCTAAGAAATGCACAGCCAGCTGTCAATCAGGCAACCAGGTAATTCTCCACCATACTGTTAGGAACCTTCCCGGCTGTGAAGCGGCACTGCACTGTCAGCATGTATTGGGTCACGGGGGTACATTAGTGAGTGTATTCATGTGACCCAAAAGAGAAGTCATGCCGAAAAAAGAGTTTGGATTTAGTTTTTGGATATGTGCTTTCCCTTGTAATATACACTGCATGCTGTTACACAACAAGGGCAGTAATCCCCTTGTGAGCTATTATCTGTTCACTGGGGCTAGTTACCCAGCAAGGCATAAGGTACTTGTTCACAATTTGGCTACCTGCACTGCATAGGTGACAGGTAGACTTAAAATCACCATCTTATTTAGACTCGGTCAGCACCAAAGCTTTGTTTTGCAATAGATGTACATTCACTGGCCACTTTATTAGGTACACCTTGCTAGTACCAGGTTTTGTCTTCACAACTGCTTTAATTCTTTGTGGCATAGATTCAACAAGGTGATGGAAACATTCCTTAGAGAGTTTGGTCCATATTGACATGATCGCATCACACAGTTGCTGCAGATTTGTTGGCTGCACACCCATGATGTGAAGCTCCACCAGAAGCACCAAATTCTGACCCGACCATCTGAATGTTGCAACAGAAATCGAGACTCATTAGACCAGGCAACGTTTTTCCAATGTTCTATTGTCCAATTTTGGTTAGCCCTTGCAAATTGTAGCCTCTGTTTCCTGTTCTTAGCTGACAGGAGTGGCACCCGATTTCTGATTGGCAGGAGTGGCACCCGGTCTTCTGCTGCAGTAGCCCATCTGATTCAAGGTTCAACGTGTTGTACGTTCAGATATGTTATACTGCATACCTAGGTTGTATCGAGTGGTTATTTGAGCAACTGTTTCCTTTCTATTAGCTTGAACCAGTCTCCTCTTACAATGCATTTTCGGCCACACAACTGCCGCTCACTGGATATTTTCTCTTTTTCAGACCATTCTCTGTAAACCTTAGAGATGGTTGTGTATGAAAATTCCAGTAGATCAGCAGTTGCTGAAATACTCAACCAGCCCATCTGGCACCAAAAATCATGCCACGTTCAAAGTCACTTAAATCCCCTTTCTTCCCCATTCTGATGCTCGGTTTAAACCTCAGCAAGTCGTCTTCACCACATCTAGATGCCTAAATGTATTGAGTTACTGCCATGTGATTGGCTGAATAGATATTTGTGGTAACGAGCAGTTGAATAGGTGTACCTAATAAAGCTTCCGGCGATTGTATAATATATGTACTTTGACCTATCAAATGAGGATATCAGACTCACATCAATTTAAAGCATCGCTAATAGATCTTCGACATTTGTGGAGCGTTGCACTGTTTTATCTGGACAGTTTTGAGATGTTCCTGCAGCACATTACCGGGAGCGTCCTCCCGCGACCCAAAGCTCAGTATATCGCAAGCTACAGCTCGACCACCACTGCCGGGACGGATCCCGACAATGCTTTCGAGATCCACCCAGCTGCGTGAATGCCAGCTGTACCCGCCCCCTCCCCGTCCGTTCCTCCACTCAGCGCTGGAGGATCAGAGCGGGGAGGGGGGGGAAATCCCTGTGTGAAGCAGTGACTGACTGTCTCCGCTCTCTGCAGGGAGATGATTGATAACTAAGCAAGCGACTGTATGCGTTCGCTCACTTCCCGATCTATTGAGCCGACGTGTTACAGTTTCATTGTCACACGTCGGCTCGAACTATGAGGGTGAGTGATTTTCACTCATAGTTCTCACTCATAGTTCTCCTTTAAAGTCAATGCAGGAATATGCAAGAGCGATTTTGCACAGCTTTTGTACACAGCATAAAAAAAGATAATTTGGTTAATGTATAGATTCTCTCTTTTCAGATATCTACATGTACCTCCAATAATTTGTAGGTGATCAGACTAAACTCCAGTAGACGATGTGAACGTTATATAATTATATTTGTTGATTGTGATAGGCATGAAAAAAATTGTTTTACCTGAATGTCATAATTTAATAAAACAATTGTTTTGTGTGTAAAATAAAAAAAGATAAATGTTCTGCCCGCAGGATCAATAGCACTTAAATTGTTTGTTCTATTAATAGTAGTACCAGCACAGACAACTATAAGTCACTGTAATGTCCTTTCATAACTGTAAATGTGTTACCACAGGTAAAAATAACTTGTCACTGCCTCTTAACCGTGCACAATTTTTATTTTTTTTAAATCCAGCATTGTATAAAATCTATGAAGGTTTCTGTGAAGATGTTTAAAATGTTATAGAGTAAAATAGGGTCGTTTCTGATAATTCATCTGCAGTAACAAAGCACCAACCATGAAAACATTTAATAAAACAGGCATC